AGAAAAGCTGACTATCATGCAGGCATACCTCGGACCAGCCTGTTGTCAAGAGAGAAATCGAATCTACATTTTATATAGCATTCACATTTGCTTCTATTGCCATAGTTAAATGTTCAGACACATCTTTTCCTAAAATCCAGCAGAAAAGCCACCCCAGGAATGACTAGTAACCCTTTCCACCACCAAGCAAACCAGTCTGAAGTGGTTCAGTCCAGTTGAAACTGGTTTAATCCAGCCTGATCCGGTAGGCATTGATTTCCATAGGGTCCAGCTGCAGGGTTGATTTACTGTTTAGAACTTGTCCGTCGTACATAAGGGACAATGTTGTCGCCTTGATGTCTGTCAAGTCCAGGTCCCTAAACAGGTCTTCTAGTGGAACCTGGGAGTAAAGAGAGCAATACAGGTCATTTTACATTAACATCAACAAAGAATGCAATTTCCGATCATTTATAAGCCACACATAACAAAGTGCCAAGCTACTGTATGGTTAGGCTATTGGTCACGCAATTGTGTGGTAACCTGTTCTATTACTGGCATTCCTTGTTGAACATTGGGAAAAGCACAATGACATGAATTTCCTCAGTCCAAAAGGTATAAAATGGATACATATACCTAACTTCAGTTGGGGAGGTATAATGCACAGTGGAAGGAAAGGGATGGGCTCTGCCTTCCAATACCATGCCCTAAACACAATCTATTAATAATTTAATGCCTCTACGGCCTCTAAGCCTTTATTTTTGGCCCAAAATTTTCTCCTTTTGTCATCCTTAACTGATGTGAAGCATGATGCTTTTCATGATCAAGTACACAAACATGTAGCTAGTACAATGCATAACAATGGCTTTTATAATTTAGCCATGCACACTGGTTCACTCCTACTATTCTCCATAAGTGTGTATGGTTCTTACATTTTGTACCAATGAAATATTATATAGATGGCCACAAAAACTGTTGAAAATGCTGACCTTTCCCCCAGTTGTAGAGCAGCTCAGTCCATTGGCAGGGAAACTGCAGTCGAACCCTTTCCTATGTAGCAGCAAGACGGACTCCTGTGTGGGGGCCGGCGCCTCCATGGCCTGAACCGTCCTCAGGTTCACAAAGTGAATGTCGCAAGGCAAGGCTTTCACCAGGGGCTGTACGCTGGACGACAGTTTCACGTCCCCGGACGGCCCCTCCCCGGGAAGCTTGTTCCGTATGAAGGCATATACAGGGTGATTTAAAAGCTGGGAGACAGAGTGGGAGGTTAAGGAGGGGTAGTCCACCCCCGTTTGTCGGCCGCCACCGTTTGGCGATGAGGTCCTTTGGTGGCGCCGCTCCAGGAGCAAGCGGAACTGGTTTGGCGTACGTTTGTTGTCGAGCAGGCCCTGTTGCAGGCCGCGGTTGTCGTCTTGGTTCAATCTCCTGTCCAGCATGACTTCCAGCCAGCCTAGGGCGACAAACAAGTTAGAAATCTTCCCAATTTTTACCTACAGCTATTAGCTTTACCTTGCACTTGTCTATGACAATATTTTGACAACTCAACAAGGAACAGTTTTTTTTTAGATTCTTGTCTGGGGAAAGGATTGAAAGAGACATAGTCAGACACTTTTAGCTCACTTTTTATGGTGGGAAAGATAAAGTCATCCAACTGAAAAAAGAAGAGTAATAACTGCAGTACCCAACAGGATCTACAGAGGGTATTTCTGCACGTATCACTCTTAACAATCAAAATTTCTTATTCTCAGCTTAATCTCATCTTTTTATCTTCCATCTTCCTCAACCCCATTCTGTCAACCTACTATCAAGGTGTTATTCTGCCTGTCAATCTCCCCACCCATGTGTATCAAAGTGCTCAGCCACCCAGAACAATACTTCCTACAGTCATGTAACACGTACCTTCCTGCAGGCTGCCTACTCCGAGTGACTGTGCGCTGTGTAGAGTCATGCGTGTGTCCTGGTCCTGTAGGTAGGCCATGGTAGACATGGGGTAGTAGTTAGCCTGTAGGGGCAACTTGGACAGGGTCTTTCTCCTTTGCATCTGTCAATGGTGTGAAAGAATATACCATGGGTCAGGTGATAAAACGATAGAGTGTTTATCTCAGAACCAAGAGGTCCTGGGTTCGAATCCTCCCATGCCACCAATCTTGTGCCCTTAGAAAAGGCACTGAACACAACTTTCCTCACTTCACTCAGAAGTAAATGAGTACTACATTGTCCTCTGTGTTGGTGGTGGCATAAAAATATGTTGAAAAAAACTTGAGTGTGCCGTCATCTTGTGATTACATGTTGGAATAAAAATAGTGTTGCCTGTTCCATACCTGGAAGCCATTTAGGTCACTGAAGAACTCGTTGTTGTTCTTGAGGTCAGTTTTGAGCCGCATGCACAGCTCCCTGTTCCTCTGGTCTCGGATATCCACGATGTTGGAAATCTCCAGCGACCAACCATCGATTCCTGGAACCAAAAACAGAGCAATCTTATTTTCCATTTTTCTCCTATTGGTTATAGTTATTCCCTACTCTCAGCTTGTCTCAATCATGATGTTTCTGATTTAGAGAGAACAGATGGTGTTCCATGATGTTCCAGTAACCCAAAATTTGGTCAGTGCTCACATGTTGTAAGGCTGGTCTCTTAGCCTAGTACTGCAGAGCAAATCAAAACTCAAAAGATAATGTTTGAAGGTAAAACTTTTGTTCCAACATAAAAGGTAAATGTTCTCACTCAGTCCGACCAGTCACTCTGGTCTTCCTCAGTAGACTGACCCAGTGAGACTAGTCACATGGCTTCTCTGAAGTGTGACGTCAACACTGGGTCAAAGGTATCTGGTAAACGATGCCGGCCCCCGTCACACCGACCAGATTGATTGGACAGACTGAGTGAGCACATCTACTTTTGTGTTGGAACAGAAGTTTTACCTCTAAACATGTACCAACACAGATGAACTTTCATGATAGTTCAAAAAGATGTGTGTTCTTACCTGGTGACCTGTGCAGAGTGATGACATGTTCCACATGTTTCATCAGGACATGGACCTCAGACAGGATCTTCCCTCGAATCACCCGGATCACTGCTTTACCACTGCTGTCCAGGGTCTGAGGAAAGCACAGACAATATCGATGTGAAGAAAAGTATCTAGCACTGTCTTGGGAACTGTAAGAAAGGTATTAATTACTACAAGGTACTTGGCCGAAGGATATATACAGTTCTTTTTGAAGCATCTACTAAAACAATCTACCAATGCCAAAGAACAGTATTAACAGTATCAGTTATCTGAGTATAAGTTATCAGTATCAGCTATCAGTTATATCAGGTTGAACATGATTCATTCATGGATTGCTTGAAACATTTTGAGACAACATTCAAAGCAATATAATTCAATTGTGAGTACCCTTGCTTCTCCATCTGGTAAGAACAGGTACGCTCCACTCTTGTCTTTCTTAGTCTCTCGTGTTCCGTACATCAGGAACTCTACAGACACTGCAGTCTCCTTACCATCCTTCACGGTCGTCACAGACTGAAGGAGGAAAGAAATCAAAATTAGAAAAAGTATAAACCAGCATTTTAACCAACTTTCCCCCAGCTGGTGGGGAGACCACTTTCACCTACAACTCAATCTTTCCATCAGTCTGTGGTTACACCATTTCCCCTTCACTACAGCACACAAGTAAACAGACACCAAAAACAAACCCTACATACGTCAGAGGTAAATACACTAATAACTGCAGGGGAAGGTACACTATCACAGGTTGGACTGCGCACTGCTCACAAGCTCCCCCTATCTACCAGCTTAGGTACTGCATGCAATGTTGCTGCCTCCATTTCTATCCATTCCTACCTGCTGAAGTCCTGAGGTGCCAGAAAACTTGGCCCTAAGCCTTGAGTACTCGATGAAGTCTCCCGCTTACAAACTCCCCCTATCTACCAGCTTCAGTACTGCATGCAATGTTAGTGCTACCTTTGCCTACCCAAGCCTACCTGCAGAAGTCCTGTTGTCCCAGAAAACTTGGCCCTGAGCCTGGAGTTCTCGATGGTGAAGTCTCGGTTGTCGGAGATCGGGCGTGAGATGTGGAACACGCCCCTGACAGAAGAGTCGGGAGACCCCGTGTTGTACAGCGTGATCTGGGACGGGGCGTTGTACGGGTTGTTGACCTCGCTGCCGGCATCCCGGATCAGATACTTGCTCAGACCCAGGGGTGGAACGTTCACTATGAACACAAGCTGGGGGAAAAATGAGAGAAAACATCTGAGTTATGGGTTTATCGAGATACTCATCCCTGGCTAATTTAAATCAAATGCATAATGTTTACCTTCACATGGTTTGTTTGTTTCTTTGTTTGTTTATTTATTTAACCAGGAAGTACATGTCGCCTATAATTGGCAGTTTTCAAAGATTCCTGGGGGGATAACCCCAACAAAACTACATGACATATAAATTATAATTATAACAAAAGATTAAAGATGAACTAACAAAGGTCAACTAAAAATAGATAAATTTATCATGAACAAGCCTAATAAACTACTGCTCATATCTTCACATTGTATATGGTGACCAGCCCCTACAACTTGTTATATAATGTAATCCTACACCGTAGGGTGTCTTCTACAGCACCAGTTACTATGGTGACAGCTGCCTGGTGCAGGTCATTGACCTTTCTTTGGAGAAGAAGAAACTGCAGGTCAAAACAGAGCAAAAACAAGTTGAAACTGACTATGTTTTACTTCTGCAAAGGTAAACATAATAACAACCCACCTCGTATTCAGTGGTGGAAGAGTCCTGTGCTGCTGTCCAGACCAGGTTGGTCTGACTGGGGATGACCTTCCCGCTGGCATCCTGGACCTCCACAGTGGACGAGCTGACCCTTAACCTGACCACCTCGTGTCTGGCCTGGGCAACCGAGTTGTAGAAAACAACCTCCCTGCACACAGGTCAAGAAAAAAAACATGCTGGTTACATGCTACCCTTTTCTGACAAGAAATCAGAGATTTCAGATTTGCTGGCACAATGTATTGGTGGGTCCCTGGTGCAGTTCAGCTTCCCAGCTAGAGCCATTTCCTGTGTCTGACCTGTCATTTATCTGCTTTGTCCAGACAAACAGACCTCAGATCAACCATCCAAAAGAAGACCTTCATACCAAATTTCCTCCAATTGTGTAGGCTATTAAAGGCATCCAATGCATTTCCAGGGCGGCAAAATTGGCGAACATTAGCACATTTATGCCAGAATTTCATACTTTGGGCATTTAAAACAGCACAGAAACAAGCCCCAGGATGAGTATTGTATTTTCTGGGTGCGGTTAGAGGGATAAATTCCAATAATTTACACTCCACGGGTGATGTCCTTGGTGCTGAAAAACAAGTGCATAACCAAACATTTACTGACAAGGGGAAAACTACAGCCCTGTTTAACTCCCAAAAGCCACTCATTGCACTTCATCTTCCACTGCTTCCAAAAAAGAAGTTAAACCTAAAAAAGCTTTGATCGCATTCTGTAGTGCTAGCAGTTTTTAGAAAAGTCACATGTTGCAAGTTGTCACCATTGTCAACTTGCACTGTTAATCTTTCTATACAATGTTCCATGTTGCAATTAGCCTTTGGGAAAAGAACTATTAATTATGCTGTGAAAACTGTGCACTCACTTGGTCTGCTGATTCAGCTGCAGAATGGGCTTTTCTGGCAAAGCATCATGGTTAATCCTCTTCTCATCCTGGGAGGACAAAAGTGGGGAGGGGGGCAGAATATTTGTTACATCAAAAAGTAGAAATCCATGTGTATTAATAGGAAAAGTCTGTGACTCCTCAACGTCTCTAAGGCAAAATCCTTCTCTAAATCAGTCTATGTTCTAAACCGCTCCAGCAAAGCTGTAGATATATGGAGCAGACAGTCGACTAATTCCTCAAGCCAATCAACATCTTTCACTGTGTACTTTTTGATGAATATCTTTGTTCTTGCTTGCTTTAAGCAAAAGATGTCTGGCAGTAGGCTTTTTTAATCCATGTATCTAGCTCTGGTAGACCTAGTTTGAACCAACAATCACCTAGAAATGTTTAGAAGTTGTTTTTGAGCTTTTTTATTTTTGTCGGCCATATTGATATACCTGTATTTCTTTCCTAAGGTTTTGGCTAGCCCTGCACAATTTTGGAATTACTCTAGATCTTGAAATATTTGCAGCAGTTTTATTTTGGGGATTTTTGTCAGTGGTGACTTCTTACAGCAAAATGATGATGCTACAAATATGTCTTTTGTATTAATCTAATGTATTCGCTAATGGTTATTCTAATAAAGTTTCAAAGTTTATCTGGAAAGTACTGTACTATAGAATTGTTTGAAATGTGAACTAAAACAGTGGCAAGTGGCAAAAAACACTGTTTCTTTCCTTCCTTGAAATTAAGTCCCCAAGAAAAGTAAGTGAGTTTACAGTATAATGGAAGACACCAGCCAAAAAAAAGCTGCAGCAGTGATTTTTCATAATTTCCAGTTCTAGAAAACCCAATCAATGACAAGCATTGATTGGCCTTCCCTCCTTGCCCTTCTTGGCCGCTAATAAGCCAAAATGACCTTCACTTTAACATGTGTCAGCAAAACCAAGGAGGTTCAATTTGCCAACCGCCCTTGGCGTAACAAGGTCTTATACATGTCTCAATAACTGTTGTTAGTCTACATTTACAGACTGAAAGGCTGCCAAAAACATCACAAGAAGGCTTATAATACTGTATATGTCACGGATATCGGCGAGGCATACGTTACTGGCTACGTGTCTCTTTGCAATGCAGATTTTTTGTACTGTGCATTTATCAGACTGGTGATCTCGATTCTAAACTGTGATTTACAAGTACCATATCCTAGGAGGGATCTGCCATCTGATTTAATAGTCTTAGCATTCGCTTCAGGCAAGACTGTGAAGTCTTAATGTGTCTAAAACCTTTACAGTCATGATTTGTACATTGAAGATGAGAGTTAAATTAGAAGTCTTATGCACGACATATATATCATATGGATCTGTACATAACATTTCTTAAAAAAACAGATCTAGAGCAGCTAAGCATTCTAATTTACTCACACAACTGATCTATGGCAGATTTTTAGAATTGTTTCTTGACTTGAAGAAACTAGATTTGTTGCTTAACAAGTTTTAGATTTTTCCAGGCATGCCTGATTATAAATCATTATCATGGTTGTTTCTATTATTATTATCATCCATCAAAGGAGTAACAAATATTACCTCAAGTTTGATTACATTTAATGTACAGTACAAAAGGAGAGGAGTTATTAATTGGTATTAAACAAGGAAAGGAGTTATAGAAGTAGGGAAAAGGGTCAGAATTTTTACAATGCAAGAACTGACAGCTATTTAGTAAATGATAAAGGTGAGAGGAAAGTAAAGAAGATTTGCACACTTGGATGACTTTGTGGCACTGAAAATGTACAAAGGATTTCTCTGAAAAAATAAGAAAAGGTGTGTTTTGAAATGAGTAAAGAAAGCTGGTTCAAAAGGGATGGCATAAAAGGAGTACTGTTACAATAATGTTGTATAATAATGCACTTAAAATGTATTGCTTCAGAATTTTTTTCAAAACATGACAAACTGTGCGAATTTAAAGTTTACGCAATGCAAACTTTGTATGCAAAGCTATGGCCAGAAAGAAAACACATAAAACACATGATACAACTTTGGATATACAACAAAAGTCCAAATTTGAACTCACTGTATCAACAGGAATTTTAACACAAAAATTGGTCAGGGATGGGGAGGGGGGTGTCAAGAGTCAAGACTTACAGGGGTCTTGAGAAAGTTGTTTGCCTTGGCGTTCACATTCGCCGGAAGGCGTCTTGGCCTGTAGATGACTTCTTGTGCCAAGAAGACATGCCCACTTAGCTAGAGCACAGGCAGAGGGACAGGACAGAGCACAGCACAGCATGGAGTCAGTACATGCAGTAGAGTCAATGTTCTAGCCAGTCTAAAACTTTTTCCGTCATCTCAATTTTATTCAATGTAAATTGGAGCACCAATCCTAAGGGGCATGCTTCCCCATGAAAATTTTTTTAATTTCAACCCTCTTTAATGCTATTTCCTGCATTTTGAGGGGCAAATTTTACTGGTGGGCTAAGCTTAGTTTCATGACATCTCTTTTCATATCTTTACATACCAATTTTTGTCCATCAAAGATGACTGATTGAGCAAAATTTTTGTGTCGTAAGAGGCAAAATTCTGTCAAATGATGGAAAGAAGGATACTGGCTAAAACACTGGTAGAGTGTCAGTATAGTAGTAGAGTCAAGCTTCTAAAGAACTAGAACATGTGATACAAGACAGGGAAATACAAAAAGCATCTATTAGGCTATATACAGTGCTTAGTAGGGGCTACTCATTGTTTACCTAATATAGTATATAATACAGTATTGGGAACACAATGTGTAGTCCTGTGCAAAACTACAATTTATTAGCTTATTGTAGGGTCAGTAGAGAGTAATGATTGTAGAGACATATCAGTAGAGAAACAAAGTGTCTGAATTAGCACATGCAGAAGAAGAGATACAAGGCACAATGTAGGATTCTGTACTACTATTGAGAACTTAAAAGTTAATTAGAATGAGTGCAAGAGAATTGCATGGTTAATGAAAGTACCATACATGTATAGTGTTTAGATAAGTTTGTACACTTTGAGCAAAAAGTACAAGTAGAATTTTGAACTACTGACAAAAGTTATAGGCAGAAGGAGCATAAGAGACTACAATTAAAAGTACTACAAGGAGCGTAAGAATTTATGATTAAAAAACTACTACTAACAACCAAAGTGTGCAGATGAATAGCGTATAACCCCAATAAGGTAAAGTTACTGTACCTAATATTTGATACTGTTTAGTGTACAGAAAAAGAATAAGGCCAAAACTAGTTAGAAGAAGGTTAATAAGGTTGTACTGTACCATGTCGAAGAATGTGGTTGTTGTTTCGGGGTCGTACTGCTGCTTGTCCTCTGACATCAGAAAGTGGGCGGAGTCAATCATCACCCTCTTCATGTCCATGATGGAGCGAAGGAGTCTGGGATAGACAAACAGCACAATGAAAATACAACTAGAAACATTCTGGAAAGCAACTCTGTCCTGCCACTTGATACATAATGTTCTATTGTAATGCAACACCACAGAGTGTCTGTTAATGCACCAGTTACCATGGTGACAGACGTCTGGTCCAGGTCATTGACATTTGTTTGAGAAGAAATGAACAAAAATGAATTTTTTCCTTCTGCGAAGGTTATTCCAATCATTACGTTCACCAAGACATTTGAATTCCTCAATACTATAGGGAGATTTCTGTGGTATAATGAATCTGTAAAATACATATTAATTTTCCAGTCTTTCTTGTTGCAACCAGTGAAAGAATTAGCTTTCTAGCAAGCTAAAACTGGTTTGAGATCACTACATGATTGTGTATCATCACTGTTATACATGTCTCCTATAATTGTGGACACAGAAGTCTACAGTCCATAATATGCTACAGAACAACAGGTGGACAATAAGAGCCACTGAGAGATTGAAGGACACCCCGAGATTGAAGGAGACACAGAGGGCAGCCCTGGATAAGATGAAGAGACACAGCTAGTGAAACACCTGGGCCCTACATGGCCAGAAACTGCAAAACAAATTGGAGTCAGTCAAGGCATAGGTTCCTCCGTAGGAGTGCTAACACCCTGGAATAATGAAATATACTACTACTACTACTAGTACCTTGGTACTAAGTGTGGTGTGTTATGCCGAAAGGCAGTTATACCGGCTATACAGAATACAGATACCTTGTTCCATAATCCACCACCACAAAGTCCTTGGCAGTACCAGTGATAGCGTCGTGATGTTGGAAGAGTCCCAGGCTCTTCCTGGCTCCTATCAGCATCTGGTAGGCATTTTTGGCGGGAAAGCTAGGCACGTCAATATGGCGGGAGTGGGCCAGCGCCAGGGAGAAAATAATCTCAGCAGCTCTGTGGAGAGGAGAGACACAAGTCCTGTAAATATTGGCACAATAGATTGAAGGTCATGTGAAATTGGCAGAAAAATACATCTAATTGTTGGAGAATATTTCCTTTTTATCTTAATATTTCTTTTCTATCTATATTTATTATTTCATTTGCAAACTACTGCACAAAGGCTATGTAACAGACAGTAATGTAAAGAGGTAAAAAAATTATATGTCCTCTATTACTGTAAGTATCTACTGTACATGTACATTACTAATTCAGAAGGGCTATTTTTTAGAGGCAGTCGCTAAATTAAAGAATTTATGCTTTTAACTGCAATCAAAGCTTCCAGGGTTTCATAATATTATCAAGCTTATCACGACTAGGAAAAGGAGACCAGGCTTTTGTAAATATATGTGACACTGTATACTTGCCTCTTACTGACTTACATGTTGTATCTATCAAATATACAATGCAGCATTTTTGGATCATACAGATCGATATGAAACTCATATAAGGGAATTTGGTACCAAAATAGAAACAATTATAAATGATTCTTATCAGGAATTATGCACCTATGTATATCCATTAAAGATAATGTGACACAGAAATCTGCTCATTCTTTTCACTGTTGGCTTGTTTCTTTCTTTCTTCGTTTAAAAGTCTAATCATAGTAATACAAAATTTCCCACCTTGCATGTGCTTCTAAGACCCTGTCCAGGTTCTTGTAGAAGGGTCTGGATGTGTAGTAGCCACTCCAGTAGTGGTCCTCCCTGTCTGCGTAGGAGAAGAAGTCTCCACTCAGTACAGGATAGCCCAGTCCTGAACTGCCGGGCTGCAGGCCTGCACGGTCCCACATCGCGTCAAAATAGTCCGACAACGTACCAAACTGGGCCTGCACAGGATACAAGTTGTACGACATTTAAAAGTCATAATGTTTACCTTCACATGGACTAGCTTAGCAAACCAAAGCTCTGTTTATTGTTGCTCGAACACACTCATAATATATGGTAAGCAGTCCCTACAACTCTGTCCTGCTACATGATCAATGACATGTAACCCAACTCAACAGGGTGTCTACAGCACCAGTTACCATGGTGACAGACGTCTGGTCCAGGTTATTGACTTATTTCTTTGAGGAAGAAGAGGAGGAAACTGTGCAAAAACATAAGATAATTATAATACAGTGTATGATTTCATTCTGTGAACTTCAAGGTAAACGTAAAAAGACCATGTAAAGGTAAACATTATGCATTTGCTTTGCGAATGTTACCTTAAAGCTTCTAGTTTCATGTTGTATTCTTGTATGTCATGTATGTCATGGCCAAGAACCAAGAAACTGAATTGACAGTGCCTTAATGCCGTATTACACACCACTTTAGCCAGGTGAATTTATGTCCTTATAAATCCCTACAGCAAAGATAACAATTGGTGATAAAGAAGTGGCAGAAAAATCAGGCTGAATTGGGAGAGCTTTGTGAGCTCTGGAACGACCGTTATCCGCTAAAACCGGCCGCTGCAATTTCATACATTTTGATCCGAGTAATATTTCTATCTTGTCAGTGGGAATCTTCAAAAGTGAGAGGGGTAGATGATGCAGTACTTGACACATTAACAGGACTTGAAATCTATTTTTGGGAATTGGTGCATAAAAATTTGAGGTTTATAAAAATTTGAGTGCACACTGAAATTAAGTTGATTGTGGGACTAAACCTTGTATATTGCTTGTGATATAGGTTACTAATTGTTACCAAAATAGCTAAATTTAAATAATCAGTTATTGATATCTTATTGTCCTTATCACTGTACCAATTTATTGTCTGTAACTTTAATCACATTGGGGTAGACATTGAAGAAACAATATTGTTTAATTGATATTCATGGTTAAAATGTAAAATCAATGTGCAAACAAGTGCAAACCTTACTGCTTACCTTCTAAACTGGAATCTTAAATAATTATTCTATAATAGCTGAATATTGTTTCTGACACTTATATGTCAAAAATATGCTGTCTATGTGCAATGTACAGCCTTTTTCATTATGTAAAAGGTCTACCCGTGCTCTATGCATAGCATAGGGTTTTGGTGCCCATGTCCATTTCCGTAGCCCTTGGGCGACACACAGTTGTGCAATGCACTACAGCAGGGGGCTGGTCCGCTGGTAGTGCTGTGTGTTTGACCTTCCCACACTCTTTCTCATATGTGCTGAGTGCTAATTAAGCAGAGAAAAAAGTGTGTACCATTTTAAGGTCTTTGGTATGACCCGGCCGGGGTTTGAACTCACGACCTCCCAGTTACAAAGCGAGCACTCTACCAATTGAGCTATTGCACCGGTTATGTAACCCTACACCATAATCCAGGTGCATCCAATGCACAGGTTTAATTTTGGATCCACAAAAGTGCGTAGGCCAGTATTTCCAGTCCTGCACATACAAAGGCACAGTGCCACTGACTACTTATACTATTACTAAGGCTGGCATAGAGAATGGCAGTTGCAGACACCATGGTGCCGGGATAATCCTTGTAAAATTGCCTATCACTGGGAATCACGGGCAGACTAAAGTGATGTTTTCTCCCTGTAGACCCACGCTTTGATTTCAGCTAAGGGATAACACTTTTCCGAAGGAGCAATTTCTCAAAAGCAATCCAAGTGAACAATTTTCACCAGAAAACGATAGAGACAGCTATACATGGGTATGTTGTGAAGGCAAACATTTTTCTTCCTTTGGACCAGTTTCCAAAAAATGAATTGTTTTGCACAAACTACAGCATAAAAAAATATAAAAACTTACCAATCAATTATAGTATACAGTCATGTCCATGTACAATGTATACTTGCAATCATAAATTATACCAAAATGCCTTTAAATCAACCTGTAGTTTAGACCTAAAAAATCTTTTGATTCCAATGACAACAAAACACTATCATTTATCTCTTCCTACAAAATGTGTATATGCCAAAAACAGTTACTCTTCCTAATACATACAAAAAACAAATTCACATTCCTTGTACATCATTTTACATTTGATTGACAATGAACAGGTCTAAAGTACCAGCAAACTTGATTAAGATTGACAGCTACATAATCCTAAAGCTCTCTGGAACATGTCTAGTTGTCAAATCTTCATCCTCAGGGGCACTTTATGCTGTACAGTTATATATTCCTCTTCATCACAATGTGTGATATGTAACAGAGAGGTTTCAACCTGTTTTCTCCACTGCACTTTAGTTCAAAGCACTTAAGATATTGAGGTTAGATGACAGATGGACAGCCACTTCTGTCTTTTTAGTTTATATCATGAAAATTAAAGTTGTTACCAATTGAGTTTGCAATCGATTGCAGGAATTTTGCAGCATGTGACAGAAACATTGTTAAACCAATCCGTCAGCCTTGATGGACATAATTGATGAAAATCTTGGGAAAAAAATATAAAAATTTACAAAGTAACA